TAGTTGCAATCACTAAGAGGAGTGTTTTTGAACACTTTGTATTGGCTTTAAGTACTTTTGAGTTGAAATTCAAATTGTAGTCTTCTTATATGAATGAAACCTATTAAGATTTTTTGGATACTTGTAAAATACAGCTTTACCTTCCATAGCCAACTGCCTACTGCATTTTGAAACAAGACAACATGTAATATGACAATGTAAAAAAATCACTTAGATTTGTTTAACAAGATAGTAAAAATTCGATATGTTAATTAAATCATGTCTTATATGGCTTAAAACAAAGTCCTTCCATGTAATACAAAAAATAAATACTTATTTGAAATTACTTTGTATGATCAAAAGTACCAATAATTATAACCTATATTATTTTAAACAAGATGGAAATAAAATAATACTTATAACATATATTCAAAACTTATTCTTAATAAGAAAAAATAATAACATCATCTTATGGTTAAAATAAAAATTACATAAGCAATTTGATATAATAAACTTAAGAAAAATAACCAAATATTTAGAAATCAAATTCAAAATCTAATCCATGGTATATTTTTGTTACAACACTTGTATGCACTAAACATGGTACAAGAATTTCAAATGATTAATTTTAAAAGTAATTATATATGTAAACCATCTACTTTAGTTTTATTTACAAATATAAAAACTCCATAAGTTGATACACATAAGTATTGTCATATTATATAAGAACTCATCTTTTTAATAACTCCATTTAACTTGGACTTTGTAGTTAGCACAATCTCAAGGTTTATGTCTAAATCTCAAAAAACTTATTTAGATGTAGTTAATAATATGTAAAAATATATAAAAATAATGGAAAATTTTGCCTTGTATTACAGATTACAAAGAGATTATAAAATTTGTAGTTATACAAATGCTAACTAAGCTACCTATCTCAAAATAAGAAGATTCATTGGAGGATATTACTTTATGATGTCCAAGGTGACAATTACTTAGTAAAGTAAGAGGTAACAAATAATAAAAAAAATCTTTGAAAAAATCAAAATAGATGAGTCTAGCTATAGATGCATTAAAAGTAGTTTGACTCAAAAGACTACTTATCAAAAAAATAGGCTTTAGACCTTATTTCTTTCTTTAATTCTTACAAAAAGTAGCAAGCATATTTGGTTAAATATGCAAAATCATTATTTCCTACTTCTATATTGTACTAATTAATTTACAATTAAACTTGCATAAAAATCCTAACTTTAATGCAAGAATATAATACATAGAAAAGTATCACCATTTGATAGGAGAAATAGTTGCATCTAGTCAAATAAACTTATATTATATTTCTACAAATTCAAATCTACAAATATCTTTATAAAGATTATTTTTCAAACAAAACTTAAACAATATAGAACTAAACTAGGACTTACTAACTTTTCTACTATTTTATCATAAAAAATATTACTTGGATTTCTATAGGTAATTTACAACCACTTGATATGTCTTATAGCTCTTGAATTATGCTCGTGAAAAATGTCTCACTATTTTTTCACAATCTTCTTATGTATAATACAAACAAGGCTTTATTCTCTCTTTACTACATAGTACCTTAAAAAACTCTGTATTTTTGCATCAACACTTGCTCTAATCTTCACAAATAAGCTCCATCCAAATATACAATTAGTTACCCTATGGCTCTCATACTTTCTTCATTGTCTTGATTGTACTCCTTCACCTACCAATTGCAAGACAAGTCAATTCCTTGAGAAACAAGATCCTCAAGCATCAAAATTCAAAACCACTTTTTTTTTTTACTAGATCTTATGGCCCAACATGAAAATTACTAAAGATCTATCTCCTTATCAAATTCATTTTGATAAAGCGGCACCAATTAATATTGTACTATTTCCAATTCTAAACAAGCCAATAAAATCCTACACAAACGCATTAATATCAACACTATCAACTAAAAAAACAAGTAGTAACATCAACCTATATCATTAATGCAATCAAAGACAAAGTAAGACACAGTACTCAACAATCAAAGATTGAAAGACAAAATGAAGACTAACTACTCATCAAAGAATCCTTGTCATTTATTGTCATTTGCTGCATTCCTCATTCTTCAAAAAATTGTTGTAACCCTCAAAGTTTAGGATTATGTTATTTAGAGCTTGTGGTTTAGGATTATATCATTTATAACTTGTGGGAGGGTGTTGACATTCTCATTCACATGAACACAAGTCATCCCATATTCATCCACTGTAGATAACAGCCGCACCTTTTTTGGTTAACCAGATTGTGTATTATACTTAATATATCCTGATATATATAATCACACACTGCTTCAATTATCTATTATTCATTTTACTACATGTTTAGCAATCATCTGATGCATTGCAACATTTGGAACGATCGAAATCATATAGACTAGAACATACATTCGTGAAATCAAACGATGAACAAATCACATGTCAGGTTCAAAACACGCCACTGAATGCAAATTTCTCTTCGATAATACTACAGTTGTTCACTTCTTAATGGCACTTCCATTTGTTATTCACTTCTAAGAATATTGTTCGACTCCTGGTGAGACACACAACACCAAGGCACTGATCAAAAGACCCTAGCCACCAAGTTTACCGCTAAAACCAGAAGTTGTCAAGACGTTCGATTCTACTGAGATGGAGCACAGTGGGCAAGGCAGATTCGAGATGTCGCCGAACATGATCAGCGGGGAAGCTTCCGGAGCTTCATCGCAAAGAGGGAGCTGCGGTTTCAGAAACATGGTTTTGGAAACCAAGGCACAGTTGGGATGTACTCCACCCGCTTGACGGCTAGATCATGCCCAAAGCGACCGCTAGTGCAAATATCAGAAGCTAGTCCATGAACATCGCTCAGTGATGGAATGGTTTTTCATGCACGCACGCAAGCAAGCCTATTACTTCCAATCTGGTAGCTCCGTTGTTTACTGATCCATTTCTGTGGACCACCATATCAGGGACCCTACCATGACAATTGAGGTGTTAGATCTCGCTGGCTTTGGTTAACAACAAGTCTAGACATCAGCAACATCAACAATTCTGTACTCCATTCTCTGTTTACATCTTTGACGATTTGTTCGACTGCAGTGGATCCACGATGCTGCTCAGGCGGCGGCGACGAAGATGACGACCCCGTTGACTTTGACACTGATTTCGTTGGTATATGGATAAAAATCGTCTACTATTGATGAAAATTTGTCGGTATGTTGCCCAGAATAGCATGTAATCATCGTGAGATCTTTTTTTATTGTTTATGGGCTCAACAGACACAAATAAATGTATCTTATTTTTGTGTGTTAATGTGTGTGTGTGTATGTGTGTTTAGAATGATTTTACCGCTGCTTAGATTCCAAACAACAATATATATATTTGTGTTGTGTTGAAATAATGAAGGGGAATAAATGACTTGTTGGTACGCCTAATGATTCAGAGGGTTGAAAATAAGTACAGCAAGGAAGCGTATCTCCGTTTTCTGGGGAATGAATCAAAACTTATTCCAAATAATGCTGGACACAGGAACTAGGAAACACATTAAAAGCAAAGGAGTGAAATAATGAGATATTCATTCATACATGGCCCCACGACAACGTGAAAAGACAAGCCAGTGACCCACAACTGGTAAATTCTCATGGTCTGAGAGGAATGGATGTGGAGAGAGAACCAAACCCACGAAATGGAATGTCCTTTAACATGGCTTTACGACCGACTCTTGACTATGACATAATTCTGCTTTTACTATTCCAAACACGAGAAGGAAAATCAGAAAGAGAAGAATAATAATAATAATAATAAAGTGTGTGTGTGGACAAGAAAGATCATGTGTCTGGCGCCGGAATCTCGGAAGGCTGACGTGGAGGGTGACCGAAACAGACGTGGAAAGCTGGCGTGGACGCTGACCTGGACCGTGGGGGGTTAATGATTCCCAAACAGCAGTTGGGGTAGCGGCCAAAACCGACGGGGTCAGCAGTCAAGCAATCGCACAAGACTCGATTCACGACGCTTCCCCGAACTGATCTCGGCTAACCCGGCACCCAATTGGCTTGATTGCGAGGAGAAGGAGGAGCTCAATTCTAGCGCCTCGCATAGCATCGCGACCACAACGACGACGACGACGACGCTGGAGCTCGATCACATCGCGACAGGCAAACTCCTCGCAGTGGGGAACTACGCAGAGCGAGTGATGGGCGACGATCAGTCGCGACGGGGGTAAAAGCAGCGAGAGCGAAGAGCACATGGGTCACTGAGGTTGCGTCAGTAATTCCTTGACGGAGTTTGCCAGTGCCTGCTGCGTAAAAGCTGAACGGGCCACTCTTTGCTGCCCAACGCGAATGATGCTCTGCTGCGCTTTTCCAATCACGAGCTGGACATGCGTTGAAAGCGAGGGGATGAATATGGTGGTGGTGGTGGTGGTGGTGATGGTGGGGACGCAGGTTTTTTTTTTGCACTTAGTTGCTGTATCGAGATGTCCACTAGTTGGTGAAAGTCGTAGTGGTGGTGGATTTCGTGGTTTGCATCATGTGTGGGGTGCGGAGAATGTTTCATTCGGGTACATTACCTTGCGACGTATGTTCTATGCCTGATCATGTAGTGGGGAGGAGAGGTACACAGATTCTGGATGAGCGTTTTGGATGAGCTCGCTTTTGCGTCGCAACACATTTACTGGTTATGGGAGAGTGGAGCACTTCGTGGGTTTACAACTTTGGGCGCTGCGAGGAGCTATAAGACCCAAGCACTATCCCGGGGTGGAAACTTCGAGGCGACGGTTGCGTCTTCCCCAGATTTCGGGTGTAAATTTAGCCAACCAGGTATCTCGGCTCGTCTCGTTTCCAATCCGAGGCCTCGCCAACTGTTCCCCCCCAACGTTTTCGGTGCTGGGATTGCCAAACCCGGAAATGGACTCCATGCCCTGTTCGAATATGGAATCCCGACTCCCATGGATTCCTTCTTGTGATCCAACATATTCAGCAGTGCTCAGTTAACGCATAAATGCTCGGAAAACTGAGTTTGAGTTATTGTCTGAAACCGCCGAGGCAATGGATGCCATGTACTGAGGCTAGAATTAGATCGTGAAGGTCACAGTACAGGCGATGATCGATGATGAGAGGGAATGGAGATGTTTAGGAGTTTGATGGAGTTTGGGAGATCGAGTGGCTGCGTGCTCTTGTCGCTGGAGTTCAATAGCAGCTTTTCGTTACTGATAGTTGCATGATTGGTCGGAATTGGGAACAGATAGAAGAGGCTCGTTGTCAGAGTATTTATTGGAGAAGGTGCTTGTCGTCGATAGTTGCGATGGCAACGATTGCTTGAGGAATGTTTCTGTATTGGTTGGAATCGCGACGTGCTTCACTCTACAAGGGACGATTGCAGTGTGCTCTGTGCTGTTGGAGACTCTAAGCGCGCTACTGGTCTTCGGGGAGACAGGCAGGCAGGCAGGCAAGCAGGCGGAGAGGTGATTTGGGTGACTACTGCTCGCTCGAATGTATATTTGCTCGAAAGAGAGGACAGGGTCTGAGTATTGGAGCGTGCGATTGCACTTGAAACATAGTGCGGAACATCGCGGTATTACCAAATACAGAACGTCTTTCTGCAGCAGCTTGTGCGAGAAAAAAGCAACGAGAAGTTTGCGTCTTGAGATGTCTATGTTTGGGTTCCTATCCCTTATAGCTGTGGTCTAGCAAGAAACGCGCAGTAGATGAGGGCACGATTGCGGAAGGAACAGTTCGAATTGCATGTCTCGAAGAGTGAATTTATTTGTTACCAAAGGAAAATTTGACAACGATGAGGGAGGCCATGGCTAATTCTGTAGACTCGTCGCGAACTTGTAAGAGAGTTACGGTGGTGCTTTGCGCCATGGTTCATGTGGTGGTGACAGTGTATGTGCTCAGTCTCTTGGTCGAGTCTTCGTCGCAAGGATCCACGCCCCTGCCGGATTGCTTGAAAAGCTTGAATCCTTATAGAATACAGAAAGCGAAACCTACAACAAAGGATGAGGAATATAGAAAAGCCCTTATCGAATTGCGCCGTCAAGCAGCTCCTCTGGTACTGATATTGCGAATAAAAGACATCGAAGCGGAGCTAGCAATGGCCGATCAGGAGAAGGTTGGACTAACTCTTGATCCTTGTGCAAGCTCCTTTTGAATTTTCCACTCATTAAGGTATTTCATTGCAAAGTAGTTCAAGAGTTTCGAAGAGGACTGGCTTCCACTTTGAAGCCCCAATAGTTTCTCGTCAATTTTCACTCATCATGTGAGTAAGGAGTGTCTCATTTTGTTCTTAGTCCGCATGATTCTGTAGGATTATGATCAGGAAAAGTTCGATGATTGTGTGAACGTGGAACGACTTGCATTTAATGGTAACGCAATTAGTGAAGGAATTTTGACAAAATTTCATCTGCAGAATGAGATTCAAGCCGCGAAGAACATCGAGAAGGATGAGAAGGATGAGCTGGAAGATCAGAAAGAGTTGGAAACAGGGCAACGCCCACCAGCAGTAGTAGATGACCCAATTGGTAGAATTCAGCGGACTCTCACTCCGGAAAAGTGCCAACCAGAGCTGAAAACTGACTTCGGTGGAGTTGCTGTGCGGTGGGGTTTAACCCATCATGTGAACTCTGCTGCGGACTGTTGCAAGGCATGCTCACAGCAGGCTGCGTACGCGAAGTCAAGCCAGCGAAAGTGCAATGTCTGGGTGTTCTGCCCGGAGAAGAAAGGGTGTTCGTCTCCAGATGGTTACGAGCACAAATTTGGCGAGTGCTGGCTGAAACACGCAGATAAACCGCGCGGTATTGTGAATGACTACTCTCTCATAATGAGGAACAAAACAGCACCGCCAATGCCGGTTTTATGGATGTCTGGTGTGATTCCTTTTAATGGGGAATAACCGCAGCTGGTTTCAATGGATTTCCCTTCGGGTTTCAGCCCTTTACGGATGATTTCAGACAGACGAGAGTGTACTATAATCAATACTAGAGCTAGTCGGCACAAGCGGCACATCAGTATTTGCATTGAAATCTTCTTACAAGCCTGGATATCAGAATGTCACTTATTGATACTCTCTGGAGGAAAAGTTTCTCTCGTGTAATTGATCATCCATTTTCATGCAGTTGTTTCAATTGTGCTGTCTCCGTAATTTGTTGGGGCTAGAAGAGGTTTTTAAGGGTAACCGAGGACTGTATCAGAATTAGTGAAAATAGGGCTTCATCACCACTGTGTGCATATGATTAGCGCTTTGATTTCATGTCAGGACGTTAAGACGCTTAATCGGTAGTTAAATATTTTCCAGCAACCAAGATTCGTCTAGTTTTACGTAGAACATGCATATTAACGCGCATCTCTTCCTTATCCACACTAAGTTCACATGGTTCAGTGTCATCATACATGATATACAACCCAAAACCAACATGTTTATTGGAGAGATTTGTGCAAATTCTTGGATGTTTTGACACTTCATTTTTCTTAAATACTGTTTCAGAAATGATTGTCAAATTTCTTTATTGTGCTCCATACATCCACCAATTTTGTAAGTAGTTCCCTACTAGAGTATGTCAATATTACTGTATACCTATTGATTCGTTTTCGCATTTTTGCTGTTCAAAAATATGTTTTCATCCTCAACGTTGTCCCCGAGCTATGAGCTTGCCCAGTTCCTCGGGGTCAAACTTCTGGTCTCTCTTTTCCAGCGAACCCTTATCTACATTTCAAGTAATTATAACTCCCAAGTCATATCCTGCAGAACTGGAATGGGAAAAGCTCGCATTCTGCATACATGTCCGGCTATTAAGAAATAGTAAGACCACATTCGACGTATCTGAAGTTCAACACAAGTACCGACAGAAAAATACCCTGCTTCAAAGCATCAAGTGATGTGTCTCTATCACTAGAAGATTCCACAGATGAAGGGCATGATTGGGATAAGGGGTCGTCACAACTGTAATTGCAATTTCTGACTTATAATGTTAAGATGCATAACAAAAACTAGATCCTGTCAACAGAGTGCTGTACAAGAGCTACAAAAAGAAATTAAGGTATGTGTGTATCTGGTGAGGGATTAACTTAAAATGATGACAACCTACAATGAATGTATAAAATGGACCACCTACGAGGGGGATACGATTGTGAGGATTCTGCACGACTCAAACTTACAAGATCGCATTCTATGATTATTGCAAACTATACGTAAGGCTCCAAAGTTCCATACAAGTACAAAAGAATTGCTTACGGAGAAGAAAAGCGTTCATATCCTTCTCAGGGAATTTGGATTTTGTGAAGAAGGCTGTACGGTTCCTCTTAAGCTTGAACAAATCTTCAACATGTATGCTGGTCGGTTTAATCTTCAACTACAGGAAAAAATATCGTCAACTACGAAGGAATATTAGGAAAACGACAATGTCTAATTGTCCAGCCTCTCATATTTCCAACCGCAGCCAGATTTGCTGCCGTCCAGACACAACATTGCTGAGTGATACCTGCAGTCAGGAACGATACGTAAGCAGGAACAAAAGGAAATTCAGTCCACTAGAGCAGGTGAAGACGAGAAACAAAGATTTTTTACAAAAGAAACTGATCAACTTGCAACGCTAAATATTTCTTTTGGACAGTATTGACGATAACAACCAAGATATTAATTTTGAACCCTCATCTGGTCAGAATTGCATTTAATATTGACTTAGATGTGCACTGAAAGACCCAACGCATACATGAAGTATTAAAGTCCACAAATCATGGCAGCTTGATGGTGCCATTTACAGAAATGTTGAGAAGGCTTACTTCTTAAGAGCAGGACGATGGGCTATTGAAAGCAAGGTAATACCACTCCCACGCAAATTCTTGTACAGGTTTTCTTCCCCATCTGCACTCACTGCTGATGTGCATTCATCCAGCACAGCATACCTGTCCCACGAGAAACTACGCATTACAAAACCAACGAACGAGATGCAAAGGGCAGTACCTATGAATGATACAGGACCAAGACGTAAGTAACCAAAAGCATAAGCAATCCAGTAGTTTCGAATTGACACTGAGCTTTGTAAATACCTGGGGTTGTGGTATAGAACTCGAGCAACTGCCAGTCGCTGCTTTTCGCCACCAGACAAAGTCTCCTCCCAATTCTGAGGTGCAGATTAAAATCCAACATTCAGAGGAAATGACATGCAGAAAGAACAAAACATTAAGAATTTACTCTTCTCCATGCCTGAATCAAGTTTTTTCACTCCTTCAAATTACTATGCTCCATGTCATGAACTTGAGAATGACCAAAAACACGGCCTGAAATGCTTGCATTGAAAGGAAGAGGAATTAGGAACCTGCAACTGGTCAAGCCCATCTCCACGATGAACCAGATATCCGATCTCTGTTGCATCCAATGCATCCAACACTCGATTATCATCTGGATGATTTGTGTGCTTGAGAGATTGCAATGATGCAGAGCTGGACCATTTCTTTCCTTTGGTAGCCCTTGAAACAGACAAAGGGGGTGTTGGATACCGCACTTGATCTCTCAATGTTCCTCGCACAAGGTAAGGTCTCTGCAACGATCACGGTCAGTTAGCTCAAACCTTTGGCGCACACATCCCTACCAGAAATAACAAGTTCCCCTGTAATTGAAAATAGTAACGCCCTACTTTTCAAGGCCAAAGAGACCTCTACCATGGTAAATAATCAGAATATAATAACCTGAGAAAGGTAAAAAATTTCTCCTCGAGGTGGTCGACTGATGACACCACTCTGCAGAGGCCAAAGTTCCGCAAGAACACGGAATAACGAAGACTTACCACTGTACAACAGCAAACATATGACAGTCAGCCATGGAAACTTGAACACGTACTGTGACAGAAAGCGAAATGCTACAATAATAATAAGTGTTATTACAATGATGTTTATTATTATTATTCGAAAGCCAGATTTAATAAGTCAATACCTGCCGTTTGGTCCCATAATAATAGTTGATTGGCCTGTCGGCACCGAAAAGCTCAAGTCACGAACCAACATCGCTCCATCTGGGGAATAAAGAGAAACGTTCTTGAACCTGTCACCAAAAATCAGTTAATTTCAGTCATAGAATAGGTGATTTTTATTTTTATTTTTATTTTTATTATCTTTTTGCTCAAATTATTCTTAAGATTATTATATTTACCAACTTCATGTCTAGCTAAAACAAATGGCAAGAGGAGTATGAACTTACTCAATAGAGGGACCATACTTAAGCTGTGGCGTAATGTATGTTGCAATCTTATCTGGATCATTGGTCTCCACCATCTTCTGCAGAGCATGGGCACGATTTTCACGACCCTCTTTTGTACTCAACTGCTTTACCTGTTAAAACATTCAGATCAATATAGTTAATTTCCGTAAAAAACGGGGGAGCTAGCAAAAAGAAAAAGAAAAAAGTTACGTCGTCAACAAAAGAAGCTTTCCTGGTGCTACTCCATAGTGTAGACCATAACCTTGTAAGAGAAGTACCACAATGTGATGGAAAAAGCTTACTGATTCAAGAAGCTCAGACACCCTGGAGGTATGGCCAGCAAGCGCTGTTACTCTTTTGTAAACTAAAACGAGCTGCCCAATTGCAGACGAGGTGTTCTACACAATGCAAACCCAACATCGAATCATTTCAATACTTGATATAATGCACAGGAATTTGTAGACCCCAATAAACTGGTAGAAACGACAGAAAACAAAACCTTCTTTACAAACATAGTCTTTATCCCAAGATGAAGTGAAAACACATCTCATTCTATTTGTTTCCTGTCCAAGTGAAGTTTACCATCATAAGGCGCATAGAACGGATATAATCACCAGTCAGCTGCTTAGAGTCTCTTGTCTGCAAAGAAGAACCGAATGTTAGTCAAAAGTACAAATACTTCAATTACAATAATCAAAAGCTACACATTCAGATACATCTAAAAATAAGATTCATACTTCTGTATCAGCCTCCCAAGCCTCTGCAAATTGTACTAGATTTCTTTTGATACTTAAGAATTTTTCTGTTACTTACAAAATAACCGCTGTCAGACTCACCTCCTTGCTGTAGTACAGAGGTGCAGCATACACAAGTAGTCCAATAACAGAGGCAGTGTACTTGATAGTAAATCCATCTGCCACCTGCATCGTGTTGAGAAAAATAATGCATAAGATCTTCTCGATAATCCACTTAAGAAACCCCGGCATATACACAACTGTACAAATAAAACAGCACGCACTCGAACGCAACCCTACTGAAACAGTATTTCAAATTCAATATGAATCAACGTGTGGAAGTCAACTCACGGAAAGATCCCGAAATACTAGATCTAGAGAGTGGATTTCAAAAGAGTTCAAAATGTTCCATCTCTTATGTATCCCTAGAATGACAGAAGATAACGAACTGGCAAGAACCTGTTGAATGAATTTTTGGAATGATGAAAGTCGGGAGTGGCGCATGTATCGGTTCAAATGGTCATTTAGTATCATCCGCTCTGTATCTCCACCTGGTGGGTCATTAAATGCTATCTCCTCCGCATGGGAAACAATCCTAATCAATACAAGCACAAATACAAGAATACAAGTGCAGTCAAAACTCGACTCAAGGTCACTCATGAAAAGAGCGTACAATCGTCCTTAACATTTTCAAGGTGTCATACTGCAACGATGGTGTTGATATTTTCAGCACCGGTATACTTAACAGAATTAATACTTAAATCCAACTTACAGATAGATAAAGACAAAGTCGAAGTTAGGATATCGACAACTAGTACTTCAACCAATGCACTAATATCCTGAAGTGCATCGTGATCAAACTAAGTCTTGGCTTAAAGTACCGCAATCAAGTTGGTAGTATTCCTAGCTCGGGTAACAACCAATGAAACGAAAAATACTTTACCTTTGATGCGCGTTTCTGAAATTTCCAGCAAGAGCAGCTTCCTGAGCTGTCATTAAAGCCAGAGGAGGGCTAATAGAGCGTAAAAATGCTGATGTAAGTAGAAAATAAGCGTACAAAGCGAACTGTCCTTTGTACCTGCATGACATGCAGCACATAAATGAAACATACATGTGCTTTACAAACAAAATACCTGCTATTTGCATGGATAAAATTCTGGATTATTCATGAAATGCGAAAAAATCCTTCAAATTCAACAGAATTATACTCTCGTTCACGGCAAAAACTACATACTTCTACTGCCATAAAATATCGTTTTTTTTTCCTCTAAAGAGGTGCGGGAGAAAAATCACATTATATTTGAATTTTGCTTCTAACACTACAACGAAAAGGAAACGAATTATAATGCTGGTGACCCAGAAATGTAGTGAGAATGTTGCATCTGAAAAAGAAATACATTCCATGTCACTTGCTCTTCGAAGATAATAACTTAAAGAGAACATGAAACTTACCCTATGGTTCTAGCAAGAGAGCGTGTGAAGAGAATAATATCCAACATAGGTTTGAAAGTATAGGAGAAAAGCTCGCTAATTGCAGAAGAGAATTTCTGTACATCTTCAGTAATACGCTGCAGGAAAAAAACACAAGCTAAACTGAGGATGTAGGGCCCACAAATCAGAAGTAGACTGTTTTAAACAATGAACACTGTTTCCCCAAAGAAACAAACAAAAAGACTTAGTAAAGTAGATTGTGAACTACGATCAATCGATTTTCACAAATAACACGAAACGACAAATCATGTTCTAGCATCGAGGGACTCTTGAAGTGAAGACGGAAAAAGCTTGTTCTGCCTCTGTTCAAAGTTACAACGTTAACTCCCAATCCTTACATATCCCACGTTTCTGTGAACTGAAAACCCTGAAACTCGTAACAATTTGAGCAGTTCAGACACATAAAATAAGCGCTACCAATTAGCGAAACGTACTTGGTCTGCATTTGAAAGGCCGCGTAGAGTGGATGCCACGTAATACACACGATTTGACAAATAACAGTCATGCAAGTGCTCAGTGAGCCGCTGCTGGAAAGCAAGGCTAATTAATGCCTGCATACAACAATATGCCTTTTTCAAAACCACATATGCATGATTCAACAACTCAAGAGAATCAAAAAAACTATAGGACCAATTGTTGGCAAAATTCACGCTTGAGTGCTCCAAACAAAAGCAAGAGCAATGTAGCCCACCATCAGGTTACAGCCCCAGTATATCAAGATCTATGCAGAGAAATTATTTCAACCAAAATCGACCTTTACCTGCATATATTTCAAACCGCTGTTGACCAGTGCTGCAGGAACAGCCGCCCAAGCAAAGGCTGCAAGATTCGTCGCAAAGAGCGGCCAATCCTGACACGTTACAGTTGCTCTTTAGAAATAACACAACTCCACCTTACAACTCGCATTACTTCACTTCGTTTAGAACCCTACCGATAAACATAATGTAGCAGAAAGTGACCGCCCCTGAGGAACTATATTAAGGTAAAAATAAATAAATAAATGAATAAAATGACCATCAGATACTTACCTGATTTATAACTGACTGGCCAGAGATACCTTCTAAACCAGAGATGTAATCTGTCGAAACACAAAACCCAGACATGTACATCAGGACTTCAGTGATAGCAGTTACTCTAGTCATGTGTCACTGACGTCAAAAACTATATCATCGTCCTGATAATGTACATTTCCTTATGAAGATCTTGTTTGCAAAAAAGAAACACTCGCCCAAATTCTGACAACAACAAACGATGAAAACAGTTTTCGACCTTAATGTCCCAAAGATGATCATTGACATGGATAAAACCCCTCTAGAACATGTACAAGGTTACCAATTTGATCATATTGAGCACTAATTAGGAGCACGAGCTCTCAAAAATCTGCTCCATAATACTTGGATAATAGAGTATATACACAATGGTGAAAAACAATTGGAAATACTTAAACCCCCTCCATATCTTATTGCCCCTCCACTCCCACCAAAAAGTTTTTTTAATGGAATTAATAATTACAATGATAAAGAAAAGGAAAGTAAAATAAAAGGAGAGACAAACCTGTTAAAAGGGTCCGGCTAACAAGAAGGCAAGACTGTATAATAACTAAGACAGCTTCCTTGGACGTAAATGAGGGCATACATATTCGCAGAATCTCTTGTAACCGCTTTGCAAATAAAGCATTTACTGCAACCTGAACAGGGCGATAATCAAAAACAAAGTTAAAGAGCACCATTGGCAATTGCCGACAATGATGCATGTACCCGTTCTTCATCAGTCAATAGTGTTTAAGGATTCTTGTATAGTAAATAAATCATAGAGGGAAAATACAGAGAAAGAAAAGCTGATTGATAAAGAAGGCATTAAAATTCAGGTGGGGGTGAGCTGATATTAAATCCAAGTGCTAAAAAGATCAGTCATGTGCCCAAGATCCTTCCCGTGAAATACCAACCTTGGCCTTTCGGGGCTGCAAAGCTTGTTGAGCAGCAGATCTGGCATGTGTTTCACATAGGGCAGCTTGCTCCTTCTGAAATCTTTTGATATTTAGATGTAAAACCCTCCCGCCCACGAAGGCACCTCCTCCTACAAATGCTAAAGTCACAACCCGTTGCTGATGCTTGCTAAGCACAGCCATTGTGCACAAGCATGCACCAAAAACCTCCGCTTCTGTAAGAAGTTAACCCTTCAAGAACTTGAAATATCTTCTCAAGTCGCACAGCAACATCCCTGTTTTGAGAACAACAATACATTCAGATTCATCCATGTGGGGTAAATGAGAACAAATTAAATTATGAATACAAGTTTCTCCTTTTCTCACTTCGTTTTTCCCCTCAACTGCAGAAGCAAACGCCTTTCAAACTGATACTCTTTTAACTCATTACTAAAATATACAGACCAGTTAGACGACTTTGCGCACTGTTTACATAACCTAAATTTGACCTATGACGCCCTAAGAAAATCAAGGCCTTCGGGGTCAACATCATGATATTTTTTCAAAAGACTACGCAAATCATACCTATTCCCTAATTCCCTCCACCTTGTGCCACACGATTCTTCCTGCACAACACTGTGTTGCGGCTAATGTAAAAAGAACCGCACTTCAATTGTGACGCTAAAACTGACTCTTCTCTTCTCTTTTACAGCAACTCAAAAAAGCGTTACCCAAACAGAACCAACTCAATGATCCTTCACAACAGAAAAAACGCAAATCCTCTTACTAGTTCAAAAAAATAAAACTGAGGTGAAGAATTGGAGCTACAGCGAACATCATTCGGCAACTACAGAAGCAAACCGGAGTTCAACAACCTGAAACATGGAGCGAAAATAACCTGAACTCGTTCACTAATCCACAGGAGTCCCGAAAACCTACGCTACTTACAACACCAAAAAAAAGCCAGCTCCACGAGAATTCTCACACAATTCAAGCGAATTCCGCTGCCCCTACCCATCGGTCACCGATAGACACAGAAACAATCACGGCTCATACACCCCCTACAAATTCCTTCAAACTCCATTCACAACCCTAGAACCCATTTCGCCAGAAAAAACTCTCGTCGAAACCCAAAACCCACGCATCACAAGCCGCGGAAAAAAACGAGTATAACTCACGAATGAATTGCCCTGAGATCAAAGCATGCGATCAAAGGCGACGCTCACGTGAAACCAAGCTCGAGCTCCCGCCGTCCTCCTCCTCCTACGTCTCCTCCTCCTGCTAAGTGACTGCGGCTTTACCTACCAGTCTTGGAACATCATCCCCAACTGCGACCGAAACACGGGATTGATGGGAAGCAATCGGAGATGCGGCGAGTCCCTCAGTGCCACCGAACGAGGGGATTTTGCGCAACGGGTGCTCCACCGAGATTTCTTCCAAGACTTGCTTACAATGTTGATCTGCCGCCGGGTTGCTGCTGCTGCTGCTGTTGTCGTGGGGCCCTCACTCGGTCACGATCTCCCCTGCTTCTTCTTTTTAATTTGCTGATGTGGCACAGAGGTAGAGATGACGTGGCATCGTAGTTAATCCCCCCCCAAGTCGAGCCCCCGAGCCGGTCATGCCGCCAGAATTTTGGCGCCCTATCGCCTCAGAAGGGCACCACATCCATCGGGACCGCACCTCGTGGCACGCCACGTCTCCCGCGTGCTTACGTGTCCCATTCCCCTCTCCCTTTTCCATCCCCGTTTCGAACCCCAGCCCGGCCCATCTCCCCCTCCACCTTCCTTCCTGCCTTCCTTCGTTCCTTCCTTCCTTCGATGAATTTGTGTTGCTTTTGTGCTTGCTTTTTGTATCCTACGATGACCTTCGACTTTAGATTCACAAAAAAACTAACACACCTAACCAAAATTCATCCAGCAAATCTTTAATTCTTTTATTGGTTCTTTTGGGTTTTATTTTTCTCTGTTTTGGGATTGAGCACTGTGAGGGTGTCGTTAGTTGTTATACTCTGCTGTAAATTTAAAACATTTCAACCTCCTTGTACAAAAAATTTAAGTATGTTCATAATAATAATGATATATGTATAACCTTAAAATTAGGATGTATCAAGCTATATATATTCTTTTAAATAAATTTTTTTAAAAATATTTTAAAAATGTGTAATCCTTTTTAATGCTATGGACCACATATATATATATATATATATATATATACTATATATATATAAACACACATATTACATATTGAATAATATTTGGATATTAAAAATAGGGAGTTGTTAAATTTATTAAAGCCACACCCTCTCTTGCTATCTCATGATTAGTTCCTTCTATCTCCATCTCAGTCTCCACTTCCCAGTCCCTAGTCCCGCAATCCCATTTTTATTTCATGTCTTCCATCCCATATTTCCAACCTCCCCCCTTGTAAGTCTCTTGTTCTATAATTGGAGGGGAGGGGGATTTTCAAATATACATTTCAAGTTTCTTTATATTTGTTTTTGATTATTTAAATTAAATATTACATAATTATTTAAATTAAATAATGGCATTTAGAAAAGTAAAAGAATATGGATTATTTACAAATTAAATTGAAATGAATATAAAGTAAATATGAGAGCAAAGATCTAACTTTATTTATAAAAATTTATTGAAATAAATTTTGATAATTTATATGTTTTTAGTTATTGAATGTTATATTATAATAATCTTATAGACTCCTTCTTCATCCCCCAGTCTTGGAACAAGGGCCTAGAGGAGACAAGGGAGGGCTAAGAATAAGAGATAGGAGATATGGAACAAGAAACAGGGGTGGGAACAAGGGGCAAGGGATTGGGAACAAGAAGCAAGAGACTGAGAACAAGAGATGGACCGAACTATTGATAAGATGGCAAGAGATGGCGTGGCTTTAACAACTCCCTCAAAATATTACATAATTTTAATTCATAAAAAATAAGGTCTAATAGAATATATATTTTTATTTATATTTTCTATTTATATATGTACATATCTATAATCTAAACAGCATATTTTATAACATTTAATGTAATAAAAACACATTTTATTATTTATTTGTTAACAACTACATTCATTATTGTGTGATTTAATTAATTATTTTAGCTGATTCTATATGACTACTATTGTTTTGCATTGTCTTTATTAATCAAAAGTATTAATAATGAATTATATATATATATATATATATATATATATATATATATATCATAAAAATCATAGATACCATGATGTATATTATAATATGAAATTATTGAAATTACTGGTTAATAGTATGTAATTAGAAGATAATATACCATGTATATCAAAGTATTAAAAATGTGCTAACAAAGTTTTAATTTTCATCTACCATTAAAGCATTTTTTTGTAAATTTTTTGAATCTTCCAAAAAAATAGATGATGTATTGTTATTTTACCAACAAACATTTTAATCCACTACTATTCAATCTTTTATTTACATAGATGTGCATTATCTAGTATATCTATATTTGTATAAGTTTTCTATATATTGCCAAATAAACTACAAATGATTAGATAAAAATTATTGTTATAAATATTATTATAATATGCATTTGTTCATATATTCTAATTTTAAAATTCCTTGTAGGAATTGAATTTATTAAACTAATGTTATAAACACGATTATTATAATAAAACTATAGTATTTTCATGAATGAAAATAAAATCAGATGATTATTTCTTAAAATTGAGGTAAAGATTTTGGTTTTGGTTTTTTTTGTTTTTTTGTTGTTGTTGTTTGTAAATTGCTTTATTTAACAACTAAAACAATTCAACACCTCTAATATTTTTTAAATAGGTAGAATATTGTTTTATAGTTTTTTATATATTTATGTATATTTATATTTGTGACACACAAATATAATTGTGAAATTTACTTCAGAATATTTGTAATAAGTTCGTTCTCAAAAAAACAAATCCTATCATTGATTGAATACATTACATTCTTCTTAGAAGATGATTTACTTTCATGTTTTTCCAATTGATCTTTAGAATTTTTTTGTTATTGCAAATACTCAAATATTACAAATGATATTTAAATATATTTTTCTAAATATTTTTCAAGTTTTTTAAAAAATATTATGTACATACAGTGTTTTCCATGTTAATTAATATACAAAATATTAATTAATTTAATTTTGTTAGATTTTATTAACTAATAAAAGTAATTAACAAATGCTACATGGTTGATAAGGTTATATGGTATTTGTAATTGGGAAAGGCAAGGCCACATGGCCATGTGGCTACACATGATTGGACAAAGCAAAGTCACGTGGCCACCATAGCTGAAGCCACCAACCAAGATTGCAGAGCCCTCACAAGATTTATTTTCATCTTGCCTTAAACTCCCTGCCTCTTATGATTAATAACTTTTGATATATAATATTTTTTCCTACAACAATTGATATTAATTAACAAAGGGAATACCATAAATACATATGTTTCACATATGTGTCCGCACACTACGTTGCCGTTGCAATTTTAGCGGCGCCACACTTTCCTCGCCTCTAACGCCATGCCTGTACAGCCTCTCGACAACGCTCCGAACCTTGCAGGCAGGCTCTTACCTATCTCTAGTTGTCACCTTACACGTAAAGTTCATGAGATTAGTGAGATAGGCCTTTGAAGAGCAGTTTTAAGAGGTGTGTTGGTGTTGTTATCGATTCTTAATGTACGCTGTGACTCTGCTGTCCATGGACATATGAATTTGTATCGGCATTGGGATTTGTCGTTACAGGAGATTACAGTGCAGCTTTTTTGGCTTAGCCTCTCACCACGTGAGCGATCGAGATAAAGGCAACCTGGAGAAAAAAAGGATCTGTCCAACTTTTACTGAGCCCCTCATGTTTTGTCGCATCAGTGTTGACACATTATGTGCATGTCGGATGAAGGATCCTTTTGGTTGTTGTCATTGAGTTTCTCCACCTTCTTGACGGGATGCTAGGTATTTTTACTTTGTGTGATCTTGTGCTGCGTGGTTTTGTGCCATGTGACGCCAAGACCGAAGAGAGTGGTTGTGGTTTCGCATTCTTCGCATTTTTGAGCGCAAGTGGAGATTTCTCGACGAGGATTCTTTCACGTAGTTCGAAGTGCTTTTGCACTTTTTCTGTACAAATTTTTAGTGGCTGCGTAATCTTCGCTGTGTGATCGAAGCTTATTTCCTGGGGTTCTGCAGTCAGTGGTAGAATATGCTTTCGTTAAATGCTTTTGTTCAATACTCATTGCGATACAGATTAGTGCGCCGAGTTTGGTATTGTTGGATAACAGGTCTGTACTGATGATTTAGTAGTAGCAGAATTTGATAATGGGGTCCGTAGATTTGACACTAAGGGAGGTAGTTAACTGGGGATGCTAGTCACATGTCTTCGCGTTAACTTTTTCTGAATCTTGTTGACAGTGCGTCAGTTAGCGGTGGCTTCAACGGGCATTCATGATACGATATCGAAGGACTTGTCAAATGTTTGTGGTCGGAAGAATAATGCGCATCATTGCATTCCTTACTACGAATTCATTGAAAAACTCATAGTAGACAAATGCTAGTTGCGCTCAACCGAGACTCAGACAGCAAATCAACGGATCAACTGTTTTTGTCTCTGTGCAGCATAGCCACTGGAAATTGCCCGCTTAGCATGATTGTATCATATCTTAACAAGCCTAGGGAGTAGGACAAAGGCTTTGCTATGGTCGTCTAGGACTCCACAGTATATTACTATTGAACTAAAAATGTTTCTAAACCTTCTCGAACTCAAATTGGTATAGCTGGGTGTGAGCCACAATTTGGTCTATCCTTTCAAGGAGCTTGAACTTGTGAGCTGTGACTTCGAGCCGATCTGGTGAGTTTACAATAATCCTTGACAAGATAGCCTTCTGGTTCAAAATCTCTGATAAGTTCTGAATTACTATATAAGATGGAGAACTTGGAGAAACACGAAACGGATGTTTATGTTTGCGTTGAGAGCAGGCACCCGGCTACTTTGTAATCATTTTCTCAGAAACTAAGAACAACTGGAGTATTTTACATTGCTAGTATTTTAAGCTTTCTTCAGGATTCTGATTCGAGCACCTCTATTTCCCATTCTCAATTTGGGGGCATTATCTCACTTTAAAAGCGTTGGAAGGGAGGTATTGGATTTTCTGTCACGTAGTGCTTTCACTCCATCAGAACGTAGTACTTAGGGGCGACGAGAAAAAGGATGCAGCTCGCTCCTGTTTTGCCTGGGGGCGCTAAGTCGGTGTTGTCGGTTACAACTTCGAAGCAGTAGAGCCTGCAATCCATCTTTGCGAACCTGTGGGAGGTTTGATGCCAAAGTTTTCATATCAGTGTCTGCAGCGTGTTAAATTCGGCTTCACTATCAGAACTAGCTTTAGTATCCAGCCGTTGGACTGGGATGGTGATCTTCTGAGAAATAATTTTATGCATAGAGAAGCTTGGCTCTTGTTTTCTCGCTCTAAATATTTGCCTTCAAACTACAGGAAATAACCATTTAAATCCAAACCACTGACGGCAAGGGTTTCAACGTGAGATGTTCGACAAAGAGAGTTTAGTCTCTCACCTAAATAGCAAGAGATGCTACTTCATGAGAAACTTGAGCTTATGGAGCTGTGTTTGTTTGTTGTTGGTAACTTCGGTCCTACACATTCCTACTTCCGCATTGTCACCAGATGGTAAAATCTCCAAAGAACTAGAATCTCTTTGACTGGTTACATTGCTTTCTTCAGAGTATGCCTGTTTTAACAACAATACATTTTCCTGTTGAAGATGGGATGTAATTCTTTCATTGTTATCGGATTTGAAGAGTCTCACTTATTTAATTCTTATCTTCAAGCTACCTGTATTGCAATACAATTTCTTGCTTCCGTCCCTGATGGTTACTTTTAGAGGGACACTCTGCACTCTGTCTGAGCACCATTTCTAAATTTTGTTACTTAGTACCTTTTCTATGTGAAGTCTGGTCATCTTGTTTAGAGGGCATTGCAGTCCATTGTGCAGCTCTGTGTAGAATTCAATTGAGAATATTTGAGCGATGATTTCAATGTGAATTTCAGAATTCTGTTTAATCTTCAGGTGAAGCGTTGCTATCCTTCAAGCGGAGTCTGTTAAATGCAAATCGCACACTTTCGAGCTGGAATGAATCCCACCCTAATCCATGTTTGTGGTTGGGGGTTACATGTCTCCCTAAAAGCGACCGGGTATATATACTGTAAGTGCAGCTACCAATGTGGTAACCCCCTATCACATGTCTAATTCTATGGATCATTACAAAGCTCTTCAACTCTTCTTTGCGAATAAGAATTTACTCATTGTTCAACGATTATGTCTACCATCTAGTATCCTGATAGAGACTGAGAGCTTGATTATTTGACAGAGATTAGCTACAACTTTTCTTCAAAATCTCATGCGAAAATATTCCCCTCGGAAATCATCCTCGTCATCTTGTACTGTGTGTAGAAACATCTCTCGTCGGAACTTGCGAGGAATCATATCATCGAAAATTGGGAAGCTTGACCAGCTGCGCAGGATGTAAGTTTATTAGATTTGTTTGATATCTACCTAAGCGCATTGACCTTCTTGCTCTTGTTCACACCTCCATACGGTTTGTTTAGCTTCCAGCCGTGAAACGTTGAGAGCAGAATATAGTTTCGACTTCCTCTTATCTTCAGCTGAATAATACAACTCTCTTGGTGTTTATCAGTGGCCTTCACCACAATAATTTGTTCGGCAGCATTCCAAAGGACATAGGCAACTGCGTCAATCTTAAAGCACTGTAAATATCTTGATCTCATTTTGCTAGCAGTAGAATGGTTTCGTCAAGGAATGAATATGCAATAGGTTTGTAGTGTAAGGAGTTGCAGATGCAAAATCTTGTCTTTATAAAGGTCAAAATCTGGTTGTGGGAGGACAGTGCGAAAACAATTAATTTCACCACATTAATTCTTTCGTTCAGGTACTTGCAAGGAAATTTTTTAATAGGTAACATTCCAGATGAGTTCGGAAAGCTGCAGCGCCTCAAAATCTTGTGAGTGATCCTAGTCCTGTGAATACTCCTGTCAAGACGCCTTTGCTTTTATTTGCTCTACTCATAACTGGTTCTTCGTATTGCACTACTCAGAGAATCATGCCACTTTATTTAGTCACAAAAGTTTTTCGCAATAAAATGTTGAACATTGAATGTGCCAATTCAAAAGTATTGTGCCGGATGTGGGGTGTGGCGCCAGATAAGGGTCAATACTAAAAAGAAGATTTATATTCAATTCTCAATTCAGCATTTACATTACGTGTGTAATCCTAAATATGTTATGTTCATTTTCAGGGATATTTCTAATAACGGCTTGATGGGAAGCATTCCTCAAGCTATTGGGCGCCTTTCACAGCTTTCCTTCCTGTAAGTGCCACCACTTCTTCCTGCTATCACTAGTATGCCTGCCCTTCAAAAAAATATAGATAAGATAAGAAAATCTCAATGGCTATTAATCTGCTGGTATTACATAATAATATTTATGTTGACCGCACATCTTGAACTTTTATGACCTCGCACATTCATCGACCAGTTATGCGTTGAGCTAAACTGGTGGTTGTCACCTATTCAGAAGTTTAATTTGCTTCAACCTCTTTGTTCAGAAATCTTTCGGCCAACTTCCTGACCGGAAAAATACCTGCAGTCGGAGTTCTGGCGAAGTTCGGCAGTCTCTCGTAAGAACTTGATTTCCTGCGTGGATGATTTGAAGTTATTTTTCTTGATTTCTGCTGTATTCTTGAAGCCTTTCTCTCCACACCTATTATCAAACTAGCAATTTACTATCAATTTCCAGGTTCTCTTCAAATCCGGGACTATGTGGATCCCAGGTAAAGGTCCTGTGCCAGAGCGTTCCTCCCAGTACTCCAAATGCCCCAATACTCATACCAACTCAGACTGCTCCAGCTTCAGCTCTAGCTCCAGCTTCAGTTAATGAATCATTGCCAGTAACAGGTATATTAGAACTCTGCAACTTATTGATCGTCTAAGTAGAAGGAAATCACGTTCATTGTTCCGCAAAATGAAGGCATGTTCTGACAAGAGAAGAATTGCATGGTGGATTCTAGGAATGGCGAATGCATCAACTGGCAGTCATTCAACTGATTTGCGCAGTATACTTTTGATGAGCGCAGTAGGCATTGTTGGCGTTTCTCTGCTACTAGCTGTTTTATGCGTTGGAGCCTTCATTGTCCATAAGAAGAATTCCAGTAATCTTTACCAAGGCAATAATATTGAGGGTCTCTTTTCTTTCCCTACTTTTCCTTTGTTGACTGTGGTCGACTATCTGACCTCTCTTTTTAGGTCTGAACGTCATATTTTATCATTGGTCTCGCCTCAAAGCATGTTAATGTGACAATGCATTTAACAATGGACCAAGTCGACCATGATGTTTGTTTTGCAGGTTCAAAATTGGTGATGTTCCATACTGACTTGCCTTACAACCGAGATGACGTATTCAAGAGCATAGAAAACTTGGGCGATTCAGACATTATTGGTTCTGGTGGCTTTGGGACGGTATACCGTTTAGTCATGGATGATGGCTGCACGTTTGCTGTCAAGAAGATAGGAAAACAGGGTATAAGCTCTCAACAATTGTTCGAAAAAGAGTTGGGAATTCTGGGGAGCTTTAAGCACCAAAATTTAGTGAATCTTCGTGGGTACTGCAACGCTCCTTTGGCCAGCCTGTTGATCTATGACTTCTTACCAAAGGGAAACCTCGACGAGAACTTACACGGTAGGTACTTTTTTCCAAAACATGTAGGTGTTTGGGACTTTATATGCACATTACATCAATATCATACAGTCAACCCTCGATTTTATTTACTTTTACTTTAGTTGCGCATTATCGAAGCTAAGTCATGATTAAAGATTAATTTCTTTGATGCAGAGAAGTTGCTATGTGAAGGCCGTCTTAGTTGGAACATACGAATGAATGTAGCAGTTGGCTCAGCCCGAGGGATTGCATATCTTCATCACGATTGTGTTCCTCGAATCATTCACCGGGGCATCAAGTCCAGCAACGTTCTGTTAGATGAGAAGTTGGAGCCTCATGTGTCTGATTTTGGTTTGGCGAAGCTTCTGGAAGGCGAATCCTCTCATGTAACAACTGTTGTTGCTGGCACGTTTGGTTATTTGGCACCAGGCACGTTTATATCATAAGTTATTCTATGTTAACATGTGCGAAGGTTCAGAATTTGCATTTTGAATTGTGGTATGTAATCGTAGAAACACAATATTTCAAAGATCCTCGGAAAGCGTGATGCATCCAGCGATTATCAAATATCGGCTGTCCACATGATACTAATTGTTGAACTATTTCCAATATTGTGCAGAGTACATGCAGAGTGGGCGGGCTACGGAGAAGGGTGACGTCTATAGCTTTGGTGTTATGCTTCTGGAGCTGATCAGCGGCAAACGACCCACTGATGCTTTACTTGTTGAGAACAATTTGAATTTAGTCATTTGGGTAAGTGTTATCGTTGTATACTATCTAGAATTTCAGTGGAAAAATTGAATTGTTTGCAATTGTATGAGCTTACCACATGTTTACATATTTGAATATTGTTGAGGTGTACTCGGTTTATTTGATCACAAAAAGAAAAAAAGAAAAAAAGAAAAAAAGAAAGCAACGTAAGTAACTCAAGTAGTTGTATCCACAGAGCACCGACTTCGACACACAGTCAAGTTGTTACGTATTGATTTTTTCGGTATTTTCATCTGATTTTGCAGGCTACTTCCTGTGTCAAAAATAATGTAATAGAGGAAATAGTGGATAAGAGTTGCTTAGAAGACACATCAATCGAGCATATTGAGCCCATTCTGCAGGTTGCGTTGCAGTGTATTTCCCCAAACCCGGAGGAGCGGCCTACAATGGATAGAGTTGTGCAGTTGCTCGAAGCCGAAACTCTCTCAAGTGTTCCGAGTGAACTTACCAACTTTTACAGCTCTCCTGTTTCTGATCTCGAAAATCGCGAGCGCTGAAACAATCCCCACCCCTTCTTCTTTTTTGTGTTTTTTTGTGTGTGTGTGTGTGTTTTATTTTTGTACATCACAGTAGTATACACCACAAATCCATAATTTTACTTTCATTACGCTGGATATGTAGTATCGCCACCACATACAGTCTAGAAAAGAACTAGAAAGAGATCGATTGTAACCTCTACGTTATCTGAAGCTACTCATCACAGCCTGCCTGAGAAAACTAATTCATCATCAGTGCTTCTGTAACACTGTCAATTTATATTGGTTACATGTACGTGCCTTCAAGAAGAGATGAAACCTTCGCAGCTTCTGACAAAAAATATGAGCAAACCAAGTGGTTTTAAACATTCGCAATTAGTCTTTACCGTGCAACACCAGGTTGTATGTACCATCACGAACTGTTGGTTGAATGACGTGCACTTAATATTTCTGGGGAAATACATCGGATAAACATACCAAAATCACGTTGCTCTGGGCACGTAAGAACTAAGATCAGTTGTCTGGAGACTTCACATACTACATGTCTCCTAGTAACGCAACTTTGTGTAAACTATTCACCATACCATCTGCTTACACATTCCACTGACAATTTAGGTGATTACTTCAAAAGCAGGTGCACTCTCTACCAAAACATAAAATCAAGAATTTGTAGCATCAATCAGGGCAATGAAGAAACTGAGAACAAGCAATAGGAAAAAAAGAAAAAAATTAAAAGAAAAAAAGAAAAAAAGAAGAGATGCTCCAGTCCTCTCGAAGACAAAGACCATATTAAACTTTGCAATTCATTGGATAAACCAAAGAGACAAAAACCATCTCTAATTGACTGTATATGTCATTGTTTTCATCAACAATGAAGCAATAACTTAATTTTTGATCAACTAGAGATTAATATCTGCATGTTAAGATTATGCATGTTAAGATTAATATCTGCATGTTAAGATTATGCATGTTAAGATTAATATCTGCATGTTATTGTTACAGTTTTTTAAGAGTAGTATTGCAAGATTAATAGGCATGGAGCTTGGAAGCACCACAACGTGGAATAGCATAGAACATAGTGGAACGGCATACAACATAAATTTCACATCATATCAACCTTCAAACAAAAGGTTAATTTACAACACATAGTTTATAATGTTTTTTAGTGCCTAATGGCACAAGTTTTTACTAGTGTTATATAAATACAAACAAGATAAAATTATATTTCTTCAAATAAAAAATCAAATATCAATATTCTACAATAAAAAAATATATGTGTATATAATTTTTTAAAAAACATATAAAAATATATATTTAAAATACAAATGAATGTATATATTATATATATATAATATAAAAAATTATTTATTTATTTTTCTACTTATGTATATCAATTAGAAATGGCACCATGGCTTTTTAAAGTCTATTGAACTATCTATACATTTATCCATCTAAAATGAATTATAGATAGAAATAGTTTGAACCATCTTCACAATGAAAAAATAAAATAAAAAATCCTAACTTGAATTCTCTTCTTTACAAAATCTAATGGAATTATAATAAGCAAAGTTATAGCATATACAAATAAAACTTTATGAGCAACTAAGTAGAGTAATAAAAAAAATGCAAAGACTCTCATGATGCATGATGCAAAAAGAATGTAAAGAAAACCCACATAATAGAATGAAGAATTGAAGAGAGTTCCTAAAACATGGTGTCAAATCTCATTCCATACAATTCAAATATAGAGCACACAACGGCCCTAAGTCCTACCTTATACAATAATCAATCTTAAACTATTTGATCATGCAATATTTGTGCTTTATTCAAAGAACTAAGTTTAATTTGATCATATTGTTAATATAGCCCTCAATTCGGTAGCACAGTATGAATTTGAGAGATAAATATTGAAAGAAGCAAAAAATAAAAATAAATATAAGACAACTTGAAAAAATGAGAAGTTGGTCTATTCTCTTAAATGAATACATTTGATCAAACATATTTTCAACACAAAAATTTATTTTAGATATAAACATACTTGAATTTTAATATATATATAATTAAGATAAAATAATTAATATACTATTTTTATTATTTTTTTTGAAATATATTAAATTTGATGAATAAAAAGTCATTTTATTTTAATGTTTTTTCTTTTGTATTGAAGTTAATATTATATCAATAAATTTAAAGAATAAATATTTGAAATAGACCCAATAATTTTTTATGTTTGTTATAGACATCTTAAATATTGATAGTAGTATCATACCTATACAATAAAACAACTTAGGTATATAACAAAGACATAATTAAGCCTCATCATCCGCCAAACATGGATAAATAAGAGAATGGATGGACAAGAGCACAACTTCTTCTATTTGCAATGCGCAACAACTTTGAGTTATTAATGTGAATATCCTCAAACTTCATTCAAGTTTCTAAGGATATTAGGGTTAGGTAGGAGGTTTTGCATGGTGGTCACAATACTGCTCTATTATGGACAAGGAACCATATTTTGGTTCTTGAATGCATGTCTTTAAATGTTCACATCGGGAGGTTTGAGTTGTATGGACTACATTTGGTTTAATACACAACAAAACTAAGTTTTAATTTATACTTCTTTTGTTGTTGTATTGTATGGTTGTATTTGAATCTAAAAAAACATGAAAGGAAGTCAAATTATGAAATTGGGGGAATTTAAAATAGACGTTGAATTGGCTTGGGAGATTGAGCAAGGTCTTCATTTTCTATATAAATGTTTATGTTCTTAAGTGCTTGTTGCTAGCATTCAAATGAGGACACATGTCTTGGATGTTTAATTAAATTTAGCTCTGATAAAACCTCTATTTATTTATTAATTTATTAATTTTTATATTTGTGTATATTGATTATTCAATATATATATATATATATTTCTCCACATATCCATCCAAAATATATTCTTTGTTAAAGTGTGATACCTACACTATATTGTTTTTAAAACAAAACAATGATATCTTTTTAAATAAATATTATTTTTTAGCTTTCATATTTTAAAAAAAAACATATCATAATTGTTTTATGTTATTTAATCTCTCTTTTTTGTATTTTATATATGGTTTATTTTTCTTACTAAACCGACCTTCTTGAATATGCACATATAAAACATAGTACATGAGTCATTTCAGTAATTTATATTTAAGTGAATTTTCATGTATATCACATGAACTTTTAACATTAGCAATTCATTTGATGTGTGATTGTTTCTTCTACATGAACAATCAGTAGCATGTATTTTGCACTTTTTTGGTCATTCTATCCCATGCTGTATAAAGTAATGTAATACATATGATCACATATTATCCAGTAACAAAAAAGTAATTCATGTCCTTTAATATTTTACACTTATTACTACAACTTCTTAACAACATTTCATGAGTAAACTTAACATGTATTTTGTACTTGATTTGTTTTTGTCTGCTTTCATGTGTTACTTCTATATCAAATTGTTTTATACTTTTATTTTCCCTTTGGTTTTAGTCTTTTCAAAAATCTATTTAATTTAAAAAAAGTAGCTTTGTAAATGCTTCATCAAATGCTTTTTATGCTGTTTTTCTTCAATTCTAAGATTTTTCTCATTCATGTATCTATTTACCAAGAATATATATATATATATATATATACTTTAATTTTCCATTTGAAGAAATTTTGAAAATTTGACTTGCATAGGGTATTTATTTTTTACTTTTTATTTTTTTAATTTTACTTTACACATGTGTAAGTGATTATGTTATTTTAAAAGTTTGATCACTACTCGGGACTCTTCTATCTTTAAAACCTGCATTAGAATTTAATTGGTTTGGAATAAAATCAAATATGAGTAATCACTGTAAATCTACTGCATTGAAATGAAAATTTAAGGTTGGTTTTTACTCAAAATCTCATGAAAGGACAATGTTAACCTATAAACAACACTTTACAAATTTATTGCAAGAACTTTGAACTTGAAAACTGATTGCAAAACTTTTCCAAAATTAAATGATGCAAATAGAGTACTGCAAGGTTATGAAATCGCACCAGAAATATTTGTTGTGATGAAAGAAAAGAAAAAAAAGAAAAACCTATTTTATTTTATGATATATATATATATATATATATATATCTGTAATAATTTTTCATTTATTTTGATGAAGTATTTGAGAATAAAAAAATAATAATATATTTTTAAAGTCTTTTAAAAAAATATTATGCCCATACAAAGACCTTCATTGTTTTTTTTTTTTTTTTTTTTTTTCTTTACTCTTGTGTTGAATAATAATTTTCTCATGAACAAAGTTTTGAAATAGAGTAATTCATTCAACATTGGTGAAAATTAAAAATTAAAAGTATAAAAACCAACGTCATGACACCACTCTCCATACATTCACTGTGAATAAACAACAATAATTAATTGCAAGTGGCGCTATTTACCGTTACTAACCCAAAAAATAACTATCACGCCAAATAAAATAAAATAAAATAGCATATATTCAGCATAGAGGAGAAATTAATGTACAACTTTCATCCAATCATATTGGATGAAATGCGTCCGTTCGTCCGTTTGCAAACTGGTTGACAAAACAGCGCCGAACATCTGACTGTATGAACGCTCCCCAGCCAGGCTTCGGGAACATAATGGGAACTCCATGCGAACGCTTCGCAACTTCTCCAATGTAGATTCTACCAGTACATTTCTACGCTTAGGGAATACAGTAGTCATCCAACTCACGATTAGTGAACCAAGAGAACTGAAGCTCAGGCAAAATGAGAGATAGAGAGTACGTGTGAGCTGTAGATTTCGTTCTCCACTTCTCCAGAACGTTCTTCTAATTCTGTACCTCATAACCGCGGAACGCACACCGTGCGGGTCAGTAATAGGGGGGGCCACGCACACGGCCATACGCCCTACCCCCGAAAATATCACATGCCACGTGTACCGCATTAGAAGCGAATATTCGAATGGAGTGTAATTTAAAAAGTGCTACCAGAGCGCGCGGGGAGGTAAATCTACCCGCGAGGTGGTGGTAACTTTGAGGGGTTTACCCACGGTGATAGGCCCCTGGATACCATGACCTAATTGCGATGAGGACTGGTTGACTGTGTGTGCGTGTGTGTGTTTTTGCAACAACAATTGTTGTTGTTTTTGACTGCGAAGGTTTTTCGCTTCGTCACGCCCTCGCATTCGCTGCCGCAACAGGGCTCCAGAGCTTTTACAAAAGCCGGAGGGCGGGAGGGCTGGGAGTCATTATGGAGGGGCCAGTGGAGACGGTTGTTTCTCATTCGCTATGTCTAGTTAACGAAGCGTGACGGACGGTTCCCCTTTCACCAGGAAACCAACGACAAGCAGAAGTTGAAGGAAATTTTCTTAAAGAGAACCATAAATCCCTGAAGCTGTGCGACTTCTTCTTCTTCTTCTTCTTCTTATTCCTCATCCTCAGAGTATCGTTTTTGATACCACGATGGTGAATAGTTATTATTGGAAATAACATTATTAATAATAAATGATATTTTATAAATTTTGATTGGTTTTGTAAGTTCGAGATGGTGTGAGGTTGGGAAGAGGAGGAGGAGGAGGAGGAGAAAGAGAGAGTGAAGGAAAAAGAGGGAGAGAGAGAGGAAGGGAGGTCATGTGGAGTGACGCTGCTTGGTGTCAGTTGTTGCTTGTCACACATCCATCCCCTTGATCTACTGCTGTTCTCAGGGATGTGTGAGTCACACCCGCATTGGAGAAACCGAACAACCTTGGCTGGTTAACCTTAGGGTGGCGGATTGGCTTAAGCTGACTGTGGATACGCTAACTCATTCAGAAGTTAGTGAAAGCTTGGTTCATCTTTTTCATTGTCATCTTTGGTTGGACAAGGGGTTTGGCTTGGATCACAATCTGCTGTGATTATTCTTTTAAGTGGTTTCTTTCTGTGACGTCCTTTTTCTTCGTAGTAGTAATAATAATAAGAACAATAATAATAATAATAATAATCTTTTAGTTTTTCTATTAATACCTGGCTCCGTTTGGAGCGTGTGGGCATTGAGAGAGGGGTAGAGAGGAGAGGAGAGAAGGGGAGGAAAGCCGGAGGTAGAACACCTTCTTGGCCGTGGCATGGTAGCAACATTCTGTTCTTCCCCTGCGCCGCTTCTTCGTTTCTTGCAGGTAGTGTCTGTTGTGGTTTCTACGGTTGTCTAGGAGGGACATAACCTTTTTATGAATACGATGGAGGGGGTTACATATTACACCATGTATGTGTGTCTGGTAAACTTTTGATAGGTCTTTTTTTTTTTTTTTTTTTTTTTTTGTAGGTTTGTATGATTTGTGGCATGTGAGAAAACCTACACAACAGAATTTTCTTTCTTGCCACATTTTGGAAGCCTCGCAGACCACCTGGTAGGCTTTGATTCAGGGGCCACCATAGCAGTGCTTTCTGTCACCGCTCCTCAATCTGGGCAAAGCCAATGTCAGCCTCCTGTCTGGCATCCGCTTCCGCATGTAAACCTTAAACCCATCTCGCTCCTCCCGTTGCCCCTTCTGGTCTCCCATCTGTGGTGCTCCTCCGCTTCCTCTTTTAAGACATTTCCGGTATCTCTTGTACATGGTTTTCGTTATTCATACCGTGTGTTCTCTGGCACGACGTTAGCGAGGCCCTGCCCACGCAGGGGCTGGGCGTGGGCAAGGGTGGGGCGACACGAAGTGCTTAAGTAGCCCCTCAGAATGATCGTGGAAAAGCCTACGTGGTTGCGCCATGCCGGACTCCAGATTTTCTCCGTCGACACGCAGCCCAATGGCCTACGCTTCGCCACAGCCGGAGGGGATCACAAGGTATTCACATGCACTTGTCATACTTTGGAATGTTCTCCCTTATTATTGTTTCGTAATTTTTAGAAGGGTAGTTCGATTGTTTCTTCTGGAGGAATTCTGACAATATCGAGATTACTATGTGGATGCGGTGGTGTTTAGTGTAGGTATTTGTAACAGCCGTCTAGGATGATGTGTAGTTGCTTTCCTATTTGATCGCTTAGTGGCGTTCCTCCAACAGTATGAGAATTGGGGGGCGCAGATTTGCATTCTGCCGTGCTTGAATGCAGCAGTGTAGAATATCTTAGGTTTCGAGGTTCACGTTAGGAACTACTGCAAGCTGCAACATCACTCGGAGTAATGTTCTTCATTTTCAGGAACGTTATAGTGGATGCTGTGAACTTGTCAGTCTGTTTAATTCATGAGTATGAGAGCGTGATTCCCTCGAAGTGCTAGGGTTGTATTATTTTAGAAATTCTACAGCATACTTACTTCTACCGTGCTTCCGCTTGATTCTTCTCTGGTATCAACTGCAATGATAAGATCAATCAGGAATATGGAGATTCAAGTAGGGTAAACTTTTTACATGAATATTTGCAATGCATAGGCAAAGTGCTCATAATTAAAACCGCTGTGTGTAAAGGTACGAATATGGAATATGAAGCCATTGGCAGAGAAAGAAACAGATTCAGACACGAAGCTACTTGCAACATTAAGAGACCATTTTGGTTCTGTCAATTGTGTTCGATGGGCAAAGTGTGGTCAGAAAATAGCTTCTGGATCCGACGATCAGGTTGTTTATATTCATGAAAAAAGGCCCGGCTCCGGCACTACGGAATTCGGGAGTGGGGAACCTCCAGATGTTGAAAACTGGAAGGTTCTTCTTACCCTAAGGGGTCATTCTGCTGACGTGGTATTTTTCTGTCCCTTTCATTCCATGCATTGCTTCTATTGATGAATGAAGTGCGTACCCTTTGTAATCGAATTTAACCAAAAAAATTCCGGTGTGGCCTTTATGAGATTATTTTGATGATATCGTCATGTCCACCTACAAAATAGTGTTACTTCTGTTGATAGAATAGGATCGTATACTTATTGCCTCTACTTTTTTATTTTATTTTTTTAATTGGGTTTTAATTTTAACATGTACTTGAGCCTAAAGTTCATTAGTGTTAGTTGTATTAATGGTGAGTTGGTAGTGACGAGGTTTAGGTTTTTGATGCAAGTGCGAGTTCTTTAGTCTGAACATGAACTCTTACGTTCTTTTAAGGCACTAAATTATACGTTTGATTGGCTGTGTGTGCGTTCCCTGAAGTAGGTGGATCTTGGGTGGTCTCCGGATGATACTCAGCTTGCTAGCTGTAGTCTGGACAACTCTATTCGTATATGGCAAACCTCAACTGGTGCCCTCCTTTCAGTTCTCACTGGTCATCAGAGTCTAGTGAAAGGGTTGACCTGGGATCCCATTGGATCCTTTTTGGCAACTCAATCCGATGACAAGTCTGTAATAATCTGGCGAACTAGCAACTGGAGCATGGTGAAAAAGGTTGAAGGGCCATGGGAAAAAACTGTAAGTTTCAGAAACTTGTAGTGCACCATGCATCTCTCTGTTGTATCAGTTTAGATGTTGTTTGAAGACTGAATTACAAGCTTGTGTATTCCATGCATTAAAATGTATGAAAGGATGGCAGTCCTTGTTATCTGGAGGTTCATCTGCATATTGGGGTACTTACTTGCAGACCTTGTCCAGGTTGGGTCTACGTTCTTCAGGCGATTGGGGTGGTCGCCGTGCGGCCACTTCATTGCCACAACCCACGGCTTTCAGAACCCGAGTCATACAGCACCAGTTTTGGAGAGGGGAGAGTGGATGGCATCTTTTGATTTCGTTGGCCATAACGCACCAGTTGTGGCTGTCCGTTTTAATCATTCTATGTTTCGTAAGGTAAAGACGATTGCACTTTGTCTCTGGAAGTATGGGATATGATACGGCTGACCTTTCTAAACTTCCGTCAAATTCTAGAAGTCAAGTTTTGGGGTGTTAGAGGACACAACTGCGCAAAAGATTCTAAATTCAGTCTTCTAGGATTCAATAGAAGAGGTACAACACCCTGAAGGTTTTTATTTTCTTGTGCAAGGTATGAACCTTATACTACATTGACTGTGAATAACATTTCAAAACTCCTGGAATCAGGTGAAAAAGGCTCCTGCGGATGGAGCAGTGGATGTAGCTGGAAATGGAGCAATATTAGGGGCAGCTAATGGGACTTCTTCGAAAACTAAAGAACCACCGCCTTATAACGTTATAGCTATCGGGAGCCAAGACTGCTGTATTTCCGTGTGGACAACTGGAAGTCCTCGTCCGGTATTTATTGGGAAGCATTTTTTTCAACAAAGTGTGGTTGACCTTTCCTGGTTCGTTCCCCATCTTACTGCTGCATACTTTTGTTGTCTTGATCATGCTTGTAAATTATTACAAAGTCGTGGAGGGAGAAGCTGATAGACAAGAGCTTGATTGGCTTATAAAGTTCACCTTTTACAGTCCTGGAACTCCAGGGTTTACACTACTTCACGTACTTCTAAACATGACATCTCTACTTGCTAAACAGGAGCCCAGATGGTTATACTCTTTTCTGCTGCTCTCTTGATGGATCTGTTGCGTCCTTTCAATTTGAACGCAAAGAGCTCGGTGAAAAAATATCTGACGCAGAAATGGAAGAGTTTAAAAAGAGCCGCTATGGTGATCTTCGCGTCCGACAGGTTAGTTTTGTTCGTCTCCCTTCTGATCAAGGTTATGTTTGTACAACTCATGTTGGGCATGTTCGGTGTGTGCCATGTCGTTCGTGCTTCTATCTTAACATGTCATGACGTTTCAGGCAACGGTAGCTGAAAGCCCAGCGCAATTAATGCTGGAAGCGGCAGCGGCTAAGCAATGGGGAAGTGGAAATGCTTCAAATGCAAACACTATCGACTCAACTAAAGCAGTATCCCAAGCCGAAAATGGCGCAGTTACTGCAGAGGTGCCTAAAAAGGTGCTCACAAAACCTCCTTCAGCACCTGCTCCCGAGGTGCCTATAAAGGTGCCGACTAAACCTCCCTCAGCGCCTGCTCTTGGTGCAGATGTTCGTAATGGCAGCCTTGTGCCAAGTGTTCCCCTTCTAACTCCTAGAGTAAATCCGAGCCCAGTCAAGCAGACGGAGTACAGGCGAGCCGATGGACGGCGACGGATCATTCCAGAACCTTTGGGCCCACCTCGAGGGGATGACGTGTTTGGCAATGGTGCATTGCACAGTACTATTAAGAATGATTCCGTTACAATCACGGCTGACGCTAGAAAAGAGGATTTGGGATCCATCGGATTAAAATCATCTGAAAGTGCATTCAAGCGGAAGTTGCCGGAAGATTACGTCAAGCCTGACATGCCACCCGCAAAACGAAGCAATGGATCTGCGCTGAACGAGGCCTTGGCTCCCGCGGCTTGCTGCAGTTCAGCTGCTGTTGTTGCAATTGGCGTGGGCAATGAAGGACCACCAAATATTGCAAGTGGTGGTGTGCAAGCGGATGTGGTGGTACCAGCTGAAAAGATGACTACTCCTGAGGGAGTGCTATCGATAAGAATCCGAGAGCCTGAAGGTGCTGGTGGTGAGGATTCTAAAAACCGAGCTCCTATTTACTTGGAAGCCAGGCCCGCGGATTGTACAAGTAATTTAGGATCAGTTTTGGGCTCTACAGCTCCCATCTCAATACGTGAAAGCTCTGCCAAGGCGAAGATAATTTGCTCTCAAGGTGGAGAGGTTCGTTGGTGTGATTACTTAGTCTCCATGCCTACTGCTCTGGCTGGAAATTCCAATTTTTGGGCTGTAGCTTGTGGAGACGGTAGTCTACAGGTACGTTATCAATTATTATTTCTCCTACAGCTCGGTCTTGGTTTATAAATCATTACATTCTACACCAGGCCATTTCTTGGTGAACTCCTTTTATTTTGAACACTTCGCTGCGTGGAGTCACTGTTATTGAAGACTGAAGTAGAGTCGGACATGTTTCCAGATTTATACAAAGGCTGGACGCAGGGCACAGCCGAGCCTGATGTTGGGATCGGCAGCAGCGTTTATGGACTGTGACGAGAACTGGAAATTAATGGTTGTAACCCGGAATGGATCACTTTATTTATGGGACTTGCAAGAGTCGAGGCGCCTACTTCATGAATCACTAGGCCCTCTTCTGAATTCCACTTCAGCAAATTCAATGCTGGCCAGTAATGGTGAGAAGCTGGATCCTTTCTAATTCGTTCTTCTGATAGGTTCTAGATTCTAGCAGTGCTTCCGTTTCCAAAAAATGTTTTTCTATCGCAGCCGTTAATACTCAAAGAACGTTTGAATCGTTTTGGTAATATAGGCACAGAATTCGAAGTATTTGAGACTGGAATGTCCTGATTGTGATCTATTTGTGGGAGATCTTGACGTATGTGTTGGATTGTGTAGGGACGATGAAACTAGTTTCTGCGAGACTCTCTAAGGCAGGAGCTCCGCTTGTAGTACTGGCCAATCGACATGCTTTTATCTTCAACTCCAGCATGTGCTGTTGGTTGAGAGTTGCTGACGATACGTTTCCAGCATCTAATTTTGTTTCCGCATGGCCGGACGCTGACGATGGGGAACTAGCAAACCTTCAGGCAGGTGTTGCTGTAGCGGCTGGTCCATCATTCCTTTGGAATAGGTTAGTCTACTCAAATCTTAACTTCATCCTGGGTCTATTTCTAAAATTGAAACATAGCCTTCACTCTTCCAAACCATACCTTGAAGAAACCATCTAAGAGGATCATATTATCTAAGGAAATCATTATCCTGCTGTATGTTGTAGTGTATACCCATATTGGCCTACAATCCTTTTAATAGATAAGAAGAAATCTCACTTCTTGATTTTGAAAACATTTTGTGGCAAGAATGTCCCTTTCCGAGGAGAAATGGCAGACACGAGTCCATCTGGAAGTTCAAATGAGTTCTGCTTTAGCGCTGAAGTCCGCTAGCGAGTATCGCCGGTGTCTCGTTGCATATGCGCGCTGCTTATCAAAGTAAGTACTTTTCCTTCTGGACCTTAAGTTCCACTGTCAATCTAAACCGGGCTCTTGATGCTTTCGTCAATTACTTGATTTTATTTTTTATTTTTTATAAAGCAGTAGGATTAGAAAGTGATAACAGGAGAGGGATATTTAGAGCCGCTAAGGTGTACTGATGGGGTTTGTGGACGCTTTAGGGAAAGTGACGAAGCACGGCTAAGGGAGCTTTGTGAAGAGTTATTGGGACCTGTTGGCTCTGTTGGAAAGCTGCAGTTGTCTAAACCTGACATCCTTGTAAGCACGTTGCTTGCGCTCCTACAGTCCACATATTCACTTAAAAAATTATTGATCGTCTTTCTACCAATAATGCAGCGCAGTATTATGACTGATTTTGCAATGCCGAAGATGGTGAATGGCAGTTCTCTAATTTTTTTTTTACAATCAAGATTCATCAGTTTACTTGTGTTTGTGTCTTTTGTGTCCGGACTATGTTATGAAACTGCTCGGTTGGACGTTTGCATTGACAAGCTGGATGTTCCATATCGCAGGGCATGAGCAAGAGAGAGTTGCTCAAGGGGATTGTGTTGCCAGCAATGGCATCAAACAGAGCTATCCAGCGTCTCCTGAATGAATTTGTGGATCTTGTCACTGAGTGTGAAGCTGCTGAGAAGGCTTTAGAACCAGGAGGCTCAATTTTGTGATTATCACACTGGATACTATTCACCCTTGGTGACCATGTCACGTTTTTGTGATTTAGCATTGGAAATTTCGGAAACTGTTGTATAAAAGCATGATGTAACATGGTAGGTATGATATTAGAGGACGCAATAGGATGGCATGAGCATGTAAGAGCTTGTTCTTTACCTTGTGCTAGTGTTTTGACTCTTTGTTGTGAAGATCAACAGAAAAAGAATATAACTCTTGAAGCCATGTTTGCTCCATTTCAACTTTCAACTCTGTGAGACACCATTGTTACTTACCGTACCACTGATAAAATCTGGTATCTCGTACCCAATTGAAATTTTCTAAATGAAGGATCGGTTGGAAAGTAACTCACGACCTTCATTAGCGTTTATGACCAATATCCGGTACTGTATGAAACAAAATAGACCACGCAATTTGTGAACTCACTGGTCATATTTTTGATAAGACAGACGGTTGTGACAGAAAAACCCTCAATTGCAAAAATACTAACGTGGTATGTCCTTCCAGTTACAACAACGGCCTGAAAGTCCGCTTTGGATGGCTCCCAGAAAGTCTTTTGAAATCCATCGCAGCAATTGTTCGGATGTCGATGCTGTGTGCTACGTTACCTACACGGGAAGTAAAGCCACAGCTTCACCGCCTACCACAACTGCAGGGTCTCCCTTCTTGAAACAATGAGTAGCGAACGTAACCCTGGAATTCATTCAAGGCAACAAGGAACTCTCAGAGCCTAAAAACCACAAGGTTTCAAATAAACTGAAGCGGCTTTGGAAGATGGGAAACACTGCTCAAACCAAACTGAACAAAGATGGATGAGAGATTGTATGAGTGTCAGGGATCAATTATTATGGTCACCTATAGTGGTGTCTAAGCTTCTTGACAGCGATGACCTCCACTTCCGCACAGAGATCGTCACCGACAAGGACAGGAGTTCGGAAATTAAGTGTCTGGGAGACATAGACGGCTCCGTCCTGCACACGCACACCACCTCTGGCGTTTGGCAGCCCTAATCTAGAAACTTTTAAACTGGTGCTTGAAAATATATTGCAACATAATTTGCACCAATGTAGGTTGAAATTCCTTATGCAATAAAAAAGAAAGAGGAATTTAAGATTTCAGCTTACGAAGTTGGAACCAATGACGGCAGGGAAAAGGCCAGCGTAAAGCATGCCCTGCACGACTCGCCCCTGAAACCCTGCAGATTGAGCAGCCGAATCGCATGTGTGTATGGGATTGGTGTCCCCACATAGTGAAACATACGATGCAACGTCTTCCGTGGTGAACCGGCGCTCCATTTCGAATTTCTGCCCTTCTTGCACCACAGCAGCTCCTTCCTTCTTCAGACCTGTCGCCGTTGTCGAAAGCTTGCGCCCTAGATCCCAATAATTGTGGAATCCCTCGTTAAGGATTAATCAACAATCAAACAAGTAGGGGCATACAGGAAATCTCAACGCAATTCTCGATGTCGAGTTTGTTTGTTAGTTAGTTTTTTTTTTTTTTTGAAGTTGCGGAGCGCTGAGAGTTACGATTGGGACTGACCTTGAGAAGCCAACCATCTCGCGGAAATTGAAGCCAATGTGCTGCCCTTGCTCGCAGCCATCGTGACTGCACCCCCGACCTTCAGCAGTAATCACTCCAACAAAACGATTCCGAGCTGAGTAAAACAAATGAATAGTTTGGTCGTAGGCTTTGGGACTAGGGTTTAGGTGAGCCTTGAGTAAATTAATATACCTTCTGTGATAGTCTTCACACCAAGGCGACACTTCCAGACAAGTGGCAACCCTACTAAATTGTGAGAAGAGCCCCTTTAAAGAGTACCTTAAGATGTATTCAGAATCTGCACAGGTCGATGGCATTTGAGGATTTGCACAAGGATATGGGATTCAAAAGAGGTTTCCCAACATTGACCTTAGCGAAGTGGCAGTTTAACAAGTGCTGAATTCGTGCAATATCATTCAGGTCAGACTTCGAATTGCAGTGTTCGACCCACGTTTAGTGATACCAAGTCCCTTCGGCAATCTCTGCCTGTCTCTATTACCAGAGCGAAGTAGACAATATTTTCTGTTTCCTTCGTATATTTAAATAGCAGCTTTCACAGCTAGTTGACATACTTAAAAATCAAGCAATTGCAATAGAACTAAGCATCTTCAACGAGAATTTCGTTTGCTAAGAATGTGGCAGTGCGTACAGCCTGCTGGAAAATATGAAAGGTGAGAGAGGTAACACAGGTAAGCTAGGAAGATGGCAACAGGAACAAAAAATTTGATCAGATAAGGTGTTGCATTCCTACATGCACTCAGGAAATCGGGCCTAGACAACCAAATCAGTTTACCCAAACTTCCTCCATTAGCAAAGAAAATTGTGGAATAGGCACTAGAAATTGCGCTTCCTGACCTTCCGGGGACGCAAACGCAAATCCATGCATGATTCGTGCAAGATCGACCTAATTGCCTCCTGTATAAAATACCTACATATTCTGTCCTACTTAAAGCATTTCACATATACAACTATTCGTAAGGAATCTGCATGTAGGATGCATCGGATAAGAAAGGCACATCAGCGTACATGCCGTTCAAAGCACACCTAATGCAATCCAGCACAATAAACAAGAACGCAAATGTAACAGCCAGCCAGTAGTGCGCTCCAAATTTGCCCCAGTACACCGCCTGGGGCACCCAATCATTCACGGTACCAATCACTTGCACTATAATCTCGAGAAGCATCCCCGTCACCACATGAAACCGCAAGAAATGAGGCCATCGGTTGTTGCGGACAATGCCTAAATAAGCGCCAAAAAAATACGCCAGCAAGAACCAGCTGGGTAAGGAACCAATGAGGATAAGAAACGGATATGTGCAAAACTCATAATCTTCTATGAAGGAGTGCAAACTGTAAGCAGTCTCCGCGTACATCCACGTCTCGCTTAAAGGCATTAGGTATGGCACACACGCCAAGATACGCCACCAGAATTTGGGCTTCTCTTGCATAGGTGCGAATCCTTTGAACGATGGCACATCTTCGGTGGCTGCCCTGGGAGTAACATTGCATCGTCTCCGCCTCAACGTGATCTCGCTGACTGTCGAACTCCCCCAAATCCTACCACTCTCACCCTCTAGAAAGCAAGAAGACATGGACCCTAAGGGTGCAAATACTTGCTTATTGTGACTCAAAGTCATTCCCCTCGCGCCTGCCGGTAAACCCGAATTACAGATTGCAAATCCACATCCCAGCGGTGTAAGATGCGTTGATGAAGAAGAAGAAGCAGAAGAAGCAGAAGAGGAAAAAGCTATACTTCTCGTCGCCATCTTCGAATAGCTCAATACTTGAGACAATGAGCTTGTCTGCATTACCGCAAAGGAAGCCATCCTGCCAATAGAAAAAAATTTCGTGCAACTCCTTCCCAGCTCCTTCTGAAAACAACACCCTACAGCGATGCAAGCCCCGAATCGCCTTGTGGAGATTAGCGACAATCCAAGCGATAGCCGCAAATCATCCGAAGTGGGAGTGGGTTGCTAAAACCCCTTCACGGATAAGCCCCCCCCCCCCCTGTGAGGCCTTTCCTTTTGCGTTCACACTGCATGTTCCTTCGGTCTTGCCAGCTGTCTGCCACGTGGCCGTGGACTCTCGACACGAGCTTCAGCTATTCTTCGTGAGCGTTTTTCCTTTTTCTTTTTTGCATTACATGAAACTGGCTCGTCCTTTGTTATCCAACTTTTACAATTTATTTTATTTTTGTAGATGGCTTAATTTTGTTTTAAAATTGTGTGGTGAGAAATAAGTTATTGCATAGTTGGATGTTGGTTGTGATCAAGTGGGAAAACAATTATAGCATAGTTTTTCTAACATTTGTGTTGTTTTCTTTACTTTTGATGTCTTATAGGGCATACATTGCAATGTAGTCAGAGTGAAATGATATGCAATGAAGGTCTGGAGTTCCACCAGAAATGTAAAGAGACAAAGTATAATGTAATACGTTCAAATCATTATATGTTTGTTTTATCGTTTCTTTTCTTTTCTAATTCACAATAAATAAAATCTAGGATAAATCCTATACTTAATCTTAAAGAAAGTTTCTTTTCTTTTCTAATTCACAATAAATAAAATCTAGGATAAACCCTATACTTAATCTTAAAAAAAATATTGTCTGTTAAAAAAATCAAAGTGTTTAAGATTGAAGTTGTGATTACTTTAACAACTAATTTGAGTTTTTGAATGTAAAATAAAAGATCCTAGCATGATTTTTGCATATGATAATCTTGCAAAACAGTTGATGATGGGTCAAATCCAAATGGATGATTATATGAGTGCATGGAAGTATACATGGATGAAGTTATAAGACAAATTGGTAGATGAAGTTATAAGACAAATCGAAAGATGAAGTTATAAGACAAATTAGAGAATGAAGTTAGAGGACGAATTGGTAGATGAAGTTATAAGAAAAATTGGTGGATGAAGTTATAGAACAAATTAGTGGATGAAGTTATAGGACAAATTGGTGGATGAAGTTATAGGACGAATTGGTGGATGAAGTTATAGGACGAATTGGTGGATGAAGTTATAGGACGAATTGGTAGATGAAGTTATAAGATGAATTAATAGATGAAGTTATAGGATGAATTAGTAGATGAAGTTATAAGATGAATTAATGGATGAAGCTATAGGATGAATTGGTAGATGAAGTTATAAGACAAATTGGTCGATGAAGTTATATTACATGCAACTTCAACTAACTAATTGCATGTAATATAATTCATGATGCATGATTCAACAAACCAACATAGAAGATATGTTTCAAAGCTTAAAGCTTTGAAATCATGAATTACATAAAATGATGGTTTTTATTATAAGAATTGTAGCAATTTGTACTTAAAACTTAGATAACAATAGAATTCTTAGGGCCAAGAGAATTTTTTTATAAATCTATGGTCATGGAAATTGACTCCAAAATAATTGTTTTGATATTTTTTTTCTATACATTATTTGATTGTATATAATGAAGTGGTTTAGATTACAGGAATTAGGTTCAACCCATCAATACTTTGGAAGTAGGTAAATGAAGATGACGAAGAGGTTCTAGACTAGAAGAAGAAGAAGAATTCAAAAGCAAAGAGGTAGCAGAAAAGGATTTACAAACCTTTTAACAAAATTGAAAATGCAGGATATTAATTCTCTTACCTCTTGCATGCAAAGCAAGCGTTTTATCATTTGTACTATATCCTCATGAATTTGACTTTAAAGATCCCACTAAATTTTAGTAAATAAAATTTATAATGGTAAATATACCACAAGTACATGAGGTTGTTGACCAAAGAACAAGACCAATCCTTGTTGCAGTGTTAATTACATAGGTTCTCCACAATTTGATTAGTTTTTATAATTACAAAAAAAAAATAAAAAAAATAAAAAAATAAATAAAGAAGAAGACATCAAAATTGAGTACTCTTTGAGCTATTCAAGGGTATTTGGTCTTGATTAAGTAAAATCCATCTATTTCTTATGTGAGGTGACATTTACATAGAAAGAAATATCCTAAACTATCACTCATCCATCTTTGATAATCTTTTGTGCTTAGACGTTATAGGATTTGTATATATATCTCAAATACAACTAGTGAACCTTGGAAGTTAGGCACTTGTTATATTGCTTGGAGAACTTGGGATAATTTGGCTTATGTGAATGGAACATTGTTCATTCTATTAAGCATTTCTTGTTTGATTCTTGCTACTAATTGCATTATACATGGAAAGAACTCTCGAGACACTTTTTGTATAATTGATTGTAATTTAATTGATTAAACTAGTGCATCTATTTTTGCATGTAGGTCTTCTCAAAGGATTTGAGCGGATCAAAGGCTGGACCTACAAATGAGTTATTTGGTGAACATACATAAGCTAATTAGTATACAAAGGTATTTACTTCTCACCTCTCTATCTTCTATTATAATCAAATTATTTGGTTTTTTTTGAGGTGACTTATTTTTTTGGTAAAGAACTATTGGTAAGGTATGTAGATCTACAGGGAGTTGAGTTATAGGATCATCTTGTTCTTCAATGTCTCTAAGGACATTTATAAATAATTAATTGATGGCTATCTCAAATTCTTTGTTTTTTTTAATAGAATCGAGTTGTTTACTTGTGATTCATATTTGGTAGATATTGTATGTGGATGTTGTAAGAGAATTATTACTAGATATTGTAGTAGAAATAGTTGTGAAGGTAGAAATTACCATTTGAATTTGCTGTTAGTCATAGTTGCAAATATTCCATGTTTGGTCCATACTTCTCCAAAAACCTTGTGAAGTTGGGCTTATTATTCAGCCGCTTAAGTGTGTTAATCAATAGAGTTCCAAGAAGCCATCCTAATATATATAGTTATTTTTAAATATAAAAAAATATTTTCATTAGGTTGAATGGATTTGGTTCAATTTATGTCCACTCTTTTGGATCCAAAAGTACCAAAGAAGTGTGGTTTTTAGTACTTTCCACAAAGTACTAGGAGTAACCATACATGCCTCTTCAAACTCCCATGCTGATTTATTGGTTTGTATATTGGAGTTGTCAAGTTCAAGCAGCTATCCATATAACAGATTTGACCATATAATATAAGTTGTTAGATTTTGAATCAAGGTATATAGTAAATTGAAGTAATTCTAGGTGGGATGCACTTCGAGGCAGTTCATCAATGGATATTCAAGTATTTCTACTGCTAAATCATTACAAATCTAACAATGTCTTTCTCTACCAACTTAGCTATGCCATAATCTAATTAGTGGTTGTCTCATAAGCAATAATCAATGTATTGCAGTAATCTTTCAAAGCAACCATGAATATCATATTCTAATTAATATCTATCGATATTGTTTATTAATATATTCTTATTTTTTTAATTTTATAATCCCTTTTATATAACTCTTTATTAAGTTGAGTCCAATGTAAAATTTTAATTTTGTTATATATCTATAAAAGTTGTTTCTTTTAATGGATCCAATATCTTTCTATTACTATTCATTTGGATCCTATGGGAGGTATAGAATAGCTATTGAAAGGGAACTAAATTCTTTTTAAGATTTAAAACTCTTCTAATTTATAGTAATATAAATTCTATTATAATGTCCTTGTTTTACTCCTTATGATATCTCCAAATTGTCTTTTGGCAATGAGTGAGATTTTGTGCAAGTTTTTATATTGTATCATGGATGAAATAATCTTTTTAGAGGACTTTGTATTGAAATTGCAAATGTCCATTGCCATGGAAAAAGTAGTGGTGCTCCAAAATATTATCTACTTCATACCCCTATTCATCATTAATTACAATTAGTGGTAGTGGTGCTGATTAGTGTTGATTTAAGGAGTTCCTTGATTCAATATGAAACTCCTTGAGCTACAAAACATGAAAGATTGGATGAACCCAAATATGTGGTGGAAGCTTGAGGCGGTATGGAACATTAAAAATCAATGCAAAAATGCAAAAAGATCCAAGTTACTAAAGTGTCAACTTACAAACTTGGATGGATATAATAAGTAGAAAGTTGGCATTGGAAAGTAATACTTGGTCACTTTCTTAGAAGATCTTGTATTGCAAATGGTTATTTGCATATTTCTTCCGTCAATTTTGTATAGTAATGAGGTAATGTCATGCTTTTTGTAAGACTATTATAAGCTATTGTACAAATTCCTTTGTTGTTAGGTTGTTGGTGTCAATGATATGATAAAGAATTGTTAGCATAATCTGATGTTGACCAGTATTAAGAAAGAATAGTCAATGATTGATACTTATTTAAATATTATCATTATAAGTAAATTCTAAAGGTGTCAAATATTCATTTCAGTTATTATGGTGAACCACCACAAATGTTTGTAGCATACCTTCAAAGTTCCAATTTGCACGCTCTGTTTGTCCATTTACTCGAGGATAGAATGAAGTAGGCATGACAAGCTGTATACCCAATAGCTTGAATAGAGTTTGCCAAAAATTCTCTGTAAAAAGCAGATGTTGATTTAAAATGATGAAACCAAGTTATTTATAATGATAAAAGATAATATCAAAGAAGACTCGTGCAAGTACTAAAATATCAATATTAGAGCATATCGTAGCCAAATGAAGTTGTTTTAAGAATTTATCCACAAAAATAGTAATTGTGGTATGATTGTGAGACATCTATGATAAAGACGTAATGGGATCTATAATCACATACTTCTATTGTGCCATATATAATAAAATTGACTACAATAGCTCAAGAGATGTTGCATTGCATGCTTTATTATGCCAAAATGATTTTTAGAAGTACACAAAAGCTTAAACATCATGTTCCAAACCTATCCAAATTCATATCCTTGAGATCTATTCTAGGGTCTTTTCATGCCCTAGATGTCCAAATATTGGAATATTGTGCCTTTCTTAAAGTATGTATATTCAAAGTATAGTATCATCAAGTACATAATTTTTTTTTTTTTTGAAATAGAACAAGCTATCAGTAAAACAAAAATCTTGATATTATACATTATCCACCTTTAGTTGAATTATAGCCAT